TGCATAGATTTTTCAGAGGAACTGAAAGTTGTGAAAAAGGAGTACAAAAAGATGTTTTCGTTAAGCAAGGAAAGGCTCTACCTACCCTGTCTTTAAATTTGTAGTTTTTTATTCAAGTCCTCTCTTACTCACCTTTTGTGTCAAACACATTAAGGATTAATGCTGTTTTAGATATTGGTTTGGGCCTTGTGATATGTTAATTTAATAAAATCTGTGTGTATGACACATCTGTGTATTAGTCTGTTCTCACATTGCTAATAGACATACCTGAGACTGGGTAATTTATAAAGAAAAAGAAGTTTAAGGGACTCACAGTTCCATATGACTGGGGAGGCCCCACAGTCATAGTGGAAGGTAGGAGAAAAGGCACATCTTACATGGTGGCAGGCAAAAGAGTGTGTGCAGGGGAACTGCCCTTGATAAAACCATCAGATCTTGTGAGACATTCACTGTCATGAGAACAGCATGGGAAAAACCTTCCCCCATGATTTAATTACCTCCCACCAGGTCCCTCCCATGACACAGAGGGATTATGGGAGCTACAATCCAAGACAAGATTTGGGTGGAGATACAGCCAAACCATATCAATCTGTATATATATTTATATGTAGGATACATGTATATATATGTGGACATGAAGACATACATGCACATACACATTTACTCAAACGAGTTTAAGTGAGATAATAGTTGTGTTGCAGCACTAAACTTTGCCATCTTGACCAGCTGATTCCCTATCAAGTCTTATATTCCATCTTATCTAGACTATACCAATATTAAGAAGCAATAAATAATACTTACATTTCTTAGATGCCTTAGTTTGACTTTATTTCCCATGTTAAAAGCATGAGGCCTGTGAGGCAACTCAGTCAAGGACTCAGAGAACCTCACTATTGTGAGTATCCAGGTCTTTGCTTTTTCAAAGCAAGACTTAGATAAAGAAAGGAACAGTGACCCTCTGCCTCAGTGATTCTCAAAGTGTGGTCCATGGAAGCCTGGCAACCTAGACCTTTCTAAGGGACCCCATGAGGTCAAAACTATTTTATAATGCTAAGGGTTTTTTTTTTACCTGTTTCATTGATGGTGCAAAAGCCATTGTTAGTAAGGCATCTTCACATTACTCAAGATAGAGGCATGAGACTGTGCTGAAGGAATTGTGTTCTTCACTGGTACACACTTGCAACTAAAAAACCAGGTTCACCTACTGTCCTTATTGAGGCAGCAAAAATTATTGTTTTAATAACTCTCAACCACTGACTGCATGTTTTATTAATACACTACATGATGAAATGGGAATAACACACAAAGCACTTCTGCTGCATTCCAAAGTACAATGGTTTTCTCAAGAGAAAGCTCTTTTGTAATGGAGTTGAAAGTAGAATGAGCTTCCTTTATCACATTTTACTACTTTTACTTGAATAAAACAACTGATTATTGAGACCCGAGTGTGTGGCATTTATATACTCAAAATGAATGAAATGACCCTGACACTTCAAGGAGAACAACTAATAGTATTTGTTGACAGCAATTAAATTCAAACTTTCAAGTGATAATTAGAATTTTGGAAAACTTGTGATCACTATCATGAGCTTGACATCTTCCCAAAACTTAAACATTTTTCTGATGATAGCAGTGGTGATATTAATGAATGTGATTTTTAAATATTACTAGAATATGTCTTAATATTTTATTATAATGAAATGTGTCAACATTTGGAAGATCTGTATAACTCAGTGATCCAATGTTTTCCAAATTACCAATGCATGATGTTACAAAATCATGAATATGTAAAAAAAATCCATTCAAAGTATAAGATAGAATAATTAATTTTAATATAATGAAGTTTAAAAAGCTCTTTGGTATAGTTTCCAGATTTCATATTGCAACTAAATTAGTCAAGGTTAGTATACTCTCAAAAATAAATATCTACAATGCTATATAAAGAACACTCTTCCCTTTTCCAACCACACGTCTTTGTGAGGCCATGTTTTGTGCATAAATTTCAGATAAAACAACATATCACAATAGACTGAAATTTCAGAACAAAACAGTGTATCATATCACACTAGATTGAATGCAGAAGCCGATGTGTCTTCTATGCAGCTGTCTTTTATATTAAGCAGGCATTACAGGGATTTGCAAAAATGTAGAACAATTTCATTGTTCTACTTTTGTTTTAGAAAATATGGTTATTTTTAATAATGATTATGTTAGTAAATGAGTTTGCTTTTCAGCGAATTATACATATTTTAAATTTATTGGTTTTCCCTTCTAATATGATAAGTATGTATAGGTATAACCCATGTAAACACTTTGGGTTTCTCATTGTTTTAGAGTATAAGGGGCTCCGGAGACCAAAAAGTTTGAGAGCCACTGCTCTATATTGGTGCATTTTATTTCTGAAATTGTTGCTCACTTTTATAAATAAGTCCAATTTCCTCTACGTTGTAAAGAAACTTACCATGGAGGAGACAACAACCAAATCCATCAAGGAAAAATAGACTATAACACAGGTGGTTTGCTAGTTATCCCTGCCACTGCAGCTGATTAGGGTCACCCCAAATCTGAGTTGGATGAGCATTGCTTCATGAATAAGCATCTGAATTTATTCATTTAGTCAACAGACAGTTGTTCAGTTTCTTGTTTTTCAGGCAGTATGGCAAGTAATGGGGATGCAAAATAGATTAAAACGGTAGCTTCTGAAGTGGAAGCTGGAAATCAAGATGAGTTTATGCCGTTCTTACTGCCACTGAGACAACTGTGACTATCGAATATTTGGAGCAGTGGGACTGTAATAATTTACTGAGAAAAAAAGAGGCCATAAAGTGTCAGGAAAATCCAAGTTTGGGCTAGTCTAAAATTTTAAGGACACTAGAAAGATACAAAGTAATGTATTGAGCTTGTGCCGTTTGCCTCCAATATGTTTTAAGGGCATGTATAGGCAGAACATGTAGATTCTACCATCAAGAAAAATGCAGCCTAGTGGTGGTAACAGAAAGGAGTTAAGAAAAGCTGTGTTTCAGTAAAATGAGAGGACTGTATTCTGCACAGATGTCAAGTAGGTAGGTCGTAGGGGAGGACACTGCCAGGCAGTTGAAATTTTTAACATTGTGTTAAAGAACAGATTCAAAAAGAAGACAAATTATTGTTTAAGAAAAAGTCACAAAGCAGCAAGACAGAATAGATAACGTTGTAATCATTGCCAAAGCTGTAATCAAAGAAGACGCTTTGCTTTTATCTGGGATGTTTATTGTCTACCTAGTTCTTAATTCAGTATTAGGGAAGGAAGGTGAAATTTTTTTGGCCCTCCTTGGCCACCCTTATTCCTTGCCATAAGATAAAGAATTTTTATTCTCACAGTAGCAGGATGATTAACCTCAATTCCTGGGTCACACTAAAGGCAGAGGAAAAAGGAGGAGGCAGGACAAGAAGAAAAGAATGTGCCTCTTTTCTCTTTTCCCAGAGCCTTGAGTGTGCCCTTTTCATTTACCTTCTGTCATTTGGTTAGAGATAGGAGTTTCCAGAGTAAACTGATGTCTCAGAGGAGAAAATTAGGATATGGGATACATTTGGGGTTCACAGTGAAATGTGAGAAGTACAGGAAAGAGAGAAAAAAAATCATACAAAAAAAGATACAAGCACAGAGACAAAAAGGAAACAAGGAAGAAAAATTGGGGCCTCAACCCACCACCATCAGTAAGATCTTTCTTCTTAAAAGACAAGGACCACATGGAAACATTGTTTTCCTTCCTCATGGAACAAGCAAAATGCTTTATAAATAGGTATCAATAAAGAATTAATACAAATGAATGCTAAAATTACACTTAAAAATTGTTTAAAGCAAAAAAATTAGCTTAAAGCAATAACCTAAGATGGTAGGATAAATAGCAAAAACATTTCAAAGAATGGGCTGTAGTCATCCTGGCATGTTCACGTTCTGTTTAAGAGAAATGAGGGTCCAGGAAATAACTGATGCTTGGCAAGGGTCTGGCCATGTTCTTTCTGTCCCACCTGGAGCACAAAGGTAACTTTGTTATTGGACAATAAAAGACAAGTAAAGGTACTTGCCTTTTCCATTTGGGTCTCCTTATTTCCTCAACTGGTGGTTTATTCAGTGGCTCACTGGAACATTGATGAGTCTTGACAGCTCTTGCACTAATTCAGACCTCTGTTGTGAGGAGTTGGAGCCACATTTATTAACAATGCAGTATGTTGTACTTGAAGATAAATTAATTCATGAGTAATCTCTCCTTTCTCAGAAACATGATTCCTGTGACAGAATTCCGGCAGTTCTCTGAGCAGCAGCCTGCCTTCCGAGTGCTGAAGCCATGGTGGGATGTGTTTACGGATTACCTGTCAGTAGCCATGCTCATGATCGGCGTGTTTGGATGTACTTTACAGGTAGGTGCTTAAACCCCTGGCAGAATGAGGGCCAGAGCAAGACACAAGTCAAAGAAACCTCCTTAGAGAACTGGCCGTACAATTTTTAACCGTGTAAATATTAGTCACTGTTCTCTGTAAGTGTATTTGTAATCATAGCAGGAAGCATGAAACACCTATTTATTGGGTTTTTCTAATAAGGTAAATGTGGTACTTGAAAGATTTTAATGAGCCCAAAGAGCAATTGGCTGTAGTCAAATAACATCTGATGTCACTAACATTTAAGGGGGACCCTTATCTTTCAAAATTGGCTTCGCAGTGAAATATAGCATTTATCCAGCACCATTTATATTGCCCAAGTGGAACTTTTTGCTTTTCTCCATCTTTTACCATTACCCCAATAAGATTTTCTGGAAAAACTAACATTTTCATGAGATATCATTATTTTACTGAATGTTTAGTTCTGAATTTATTAAAAAACCCAATAAAAATTATATAGATGCTATATATTTATGTATTGAATCCAGGTTTTTTTTTTTTTTGCATAACAGCTGTGTTCCAGGTACCATACTTTGAGGACATAGATACATATAAGTAGTTCATTTCTAGAGGAGAAATAAATAAATGAGCAATCAAAATAAATTGTATTATACTATGATAGAGGTATCCAAAAAGCACTAAGAGAGTGCTGAAGAAAAACCCTCACTTTGATTTGTGAATAAGAGAAAAGGTGATGGTTGAATTAAAACTTGGAGAATCAGCTAAAGTTAGTCAAGAACCTCTTCTTAGCTGAAAGTAAGAGAACACCAAGAGGAGAAAAGAAAGCTCTAAGTCACAGAGGTGAAAAGAACATGCCATCTTTGGGAAACCGTCAGTAGGACTGGCACATATGGGGTGTTGACATGAGGGCTGAAGCCATGCTTGCAAATGGAATCACCCAGGGAGAATGTGATGAGGAAGACAATGTCAGTAATAACATTAAAGAGTAAATGGAGAAGGAAGTGGAGCCCTTGAAGAAGACTGAGAAGGGGCAGCCATAAGGACAGGTGGAAACCAGGAGAGAGACATGTGTCAGAACTCAAAGGAAGCCATGGACAGTGATGACAGGCCACACAACTAACTCATGGACTAAGAAGAGGAAAGTAGCAACTACATCATTAGAAATCTTATGTCGGTGGTTGGAAAAGTCAATGGAAATCAACGTATTATAGAAGCTATGGGGTAGATGTGATTTTCAGGTCGATCAGCTGGAAGAGGGGATTTATGGAGAGAGAGAAATTACTAGAAGTGGTACAGAGTGAAAATAAAGGACTTTTAAAAGTTGGCCTTAAAAATAGTGAACACATCCTGCTTTCTATGTGTCAGGAGCTCTTTTGAACACTTTACATGTATTTTAACAAATGTCATCCTCATAATAACTCTAAGGTGTAGGTTCTGTTACTATCCCCACTTACAAATTAGACACGTGAGGCACAGAGAGGTTATGGATCCTCCCAATGTGAATGTGAAAGCCTTTATTCAATCCAGGCAATTTGGTTCCCAAGTTCCAGTTCTTAGTCCTTCACATCATGCTGTCTTTTATTTGGTCACTAAAAATATTTTGCCCTCCTTCCCTCCAACAAAGGGTGCCAGTGAATCCATTCATAAATAAAATAGTTGTTGAAGAACCTGCTATGTATCAGGCACTGTTCTTTTTTGTTTGTTTGTTTGTTTGTTTCTTTTGTTTTTGTTTTAAGATGGGTTTTCACCATGTTGGCCAGGCTGGTCTTGAACTCCTGACCTCAGGTGATCCGCCCACCTTGGCCTCCCAAAGTGCTGGGATTACAGGTGTGAGCCACCATGTCCGGCCTTCAGGCACTGTTCTAAGAATTACCAATGAAGGAAAAAACTGACAAAAATCCCAGCTTTATGGACTTTAAATTCTATGGGGAAAATGAGCAAATTAAGCAAAATCAATTTATAAATATGTTAGAAGATGATAAAGGCAATGGAAAAAATAAAGCATGCCAAGACAGTAGAAGCTTCCTTCAAGTAAGATAGAAGCTGCAGTCCTCAAATAAGATGGCCTGGGAAGGCCTCATTGGAAAGGTGACTTTTGGCCAAAGAATTAAAGGAGGTACAGGAGCAAGCCACACAGATGTGCTGGAAGGAGGCTTCCAGGCAGAGGGAACAGCGAGAGCAATAGGCACATAGTGAAAGGAAGCCTCAGGGCCCTTCCTTTTCTGCAGAAGAATTTGGTTTTATGATTTTTTCAGTTTTCTAGTTCTGTTTCCCTGGAGACCCCATAAAGGTGGAATGTTAGCTGTGTTACTAGGCAACATTATGGCATAAATGACTGCTGATTGGTCAGCTGTATCTGGCCTGGAAGAGCGATAAATGCCCTGTAGGAAGCTGTATCATTGGACTTCTGTGACTGTGCTGAAACCTGTGATTCCGCAGGCTCCTTGACACATCAAAGATTGACCTATTAAGTTACAGGAGATACTGGTTCAAGAAAAGCCAGGCCAGTGTGCCAGAGAAATGTGAGTGAGGGGAAGTGCAGTAGAGGGTGAGGCCCAAGACACAGTGGGTGCCAGATCATGTAGGGCCTTGTAGGCTCCTGGAGGGCTTGGCTTTGTTCTGAGTGAGACAGAACATGTTTGGAGGAATATGAGCAGAAGATTGGCATGATTTATGTTTAACACGATCACTACAGCTGTTGAGAATACATTGTAGGGGGCTAAGGATGGAAGTGGAGGTGGTATTTGGAAGGCTAGTGCAATAATCCAGGCAAGAAAATAATTACATGGCTTGGAGTAGGGTGAAAGCAAGCAGTTGTTCTTTATGAATTTTGAAGGAAAATCCACCTTGCTGGAAGATTAAATGTGAAATACAAGAGAAAAAGAGAAATTGGCCAGGCACAGTAGCTCATACCTGTAATCTCAGCACTTTGGGAGACCTAGGCAGGTGGATCACCTGGGGTTATGAGTTCAAGACCAGCCTGGCCAACATGGTGAAACCCCCATCTCTACTAAAAATACAAAAATCAGCCGGCCATGATGGCTCATGCCTGTCATCCCAGCTACTTGGGAGGCCGGGACAGGAGAATTGCTTAAACCCAAGAGGTGGAGAATGCAGTGAGCCGAGATTGCACCTTTGCACTCGAGCCTGGGTGACAAGGCAAGACTCCATTTCAAAAAAAAGTCAAATCAAGGATGAGCAAGATTTTTAGACCTCAGCAACTAGAAAAATTTGTTTTTAAACATGTTAAGTTTGTGACATATGTTAAACATCGACATGGAGATATTAAGTAATCAGTCGGATGTAAAACCCAGGAGTTTGGGGTTAATAATAGTGATTTTCAGGAGGAAGGAGGTGAAGATCTGAGATCTAAGTGAAAGGATTACCCTTGATTTGGGTGCAGGAGGCATCTTCCACCAGAATGGGACTGACAGCTACAGATGCATTTTTATTTGGTATGGAGACAAAGAAGGGAGTCTGTGCCTTATGGCTTGTTGTTTCTCTGTGATGGAGAAAACAACACATTTGCTGAGAGATTGTGTGGGTGAGGGATGTAGCAGGAAGTGGCAACAAGGAAGGGAGTAGAGTGGGGGTCTCAAGAAACGCAGATTTGGGATGCCTAGTTTGGGAATTAGTAGAGGGAGGTGACAGATTAGCAGGAGCACTAGAAACCTGTCTTTATTACTGTGCCATGGCTCACGGCGCTACTGCAGGATCTGCCTAACAAGCACAGGGAACTGTTTCTCTTATTTATATGTTCCATGGCAGGTCAAAGTGCAGAAAAAAGAAAGGACACAGAAAATCTTTTAGAATAATTAGTTAATTTGCAATGAAACGAATGAAAACAAGAGTGTACCTGGAGCCAGGCTCCGTGGCTAATGCCTGTAATCCCAGCACTTTGGGAGTCCAAGGTGGATGGATCACGAGGTCAAGAGATTGAGACCATCCTGGCCAACATGGGTGAAACCCAATCTCTACTAAAAATACAAAAATTAGGGTGCTCTTCAGAGGCGCGGACGGAAGATGGCGTCCGCCACCCGTATCGTCCAGCGGCTGCGGAACTGGGCGTCCGGGCATGACCTGCTGGCGAAGCTGCAGCTGCATTACCAGGAGATCTCCAAGTGAACTCAGCCTCTTCCCAAGCTCCCTGTGGGTCCCAACCGCAAGCTCTCCAACAATTACTATTGTACTCGCGATGGCTGCCAGGAATCTGTGCCCCCTTCCAACATCATGTCCTCGCAGAAGGTGCTGGTGTCAGGCAAGCCAGCAGAGAGCTCTGCTGTAGCAGCCACTGAGAAGAAGGCGGTGACTCTAGCGCCTCCCATAAAGAGGTGGGAGCTGTCCTCGGACCAGCCTTACCTGTGACACTGTACCCGTAAGGCCCCTTACTGCTTTGCCTCCTTGGATTCCCTCCAGGGAGACAGTGACCTAATTTATGACAAATACGTAGAGCTCCAGTATCGCTTCTCGTTTTACTTTAAAAAATAAAAAAATAGAGTCTCAAAAAAAAAAAATACAAAAATAGTCCCAGCTACTAGGGAGGCTGAGGCAAGAGAATCGCTTGAACCCAGGAGGTGGAGCTTGCAGTGAACCGAGATCTCACCACTGCACTCCAGCCTGGTGATAGAGTGAAACTTGGTCTAAAAAAAAAAAAAAAAGTGTACCTATGAAAATGTCTATAATGAGCATCATTTAGTAGATGTGCCTACAGTAAGTACAAGAGGGGATTCATCTGCAAGCTAAACCTCTGTTCCTGTGTGATGGTCAGCATCATCTTCCTGCAGCACAGCCCCACAGTGTGTCTGTACAGTCCAGAAGCCTTTTGGGCTCCTCACTGACCAGCCCATTAAGCACCACCACTGTTACCCCCCACGATCAGTGGCTCCTGCTCAGATAGGTTAACTAACCCGGGCCCTTCACACATAGGCCTCTTTCATCTCTGCAGCCATTACAAAGAAATCTGATGCCAGTTGACTGCGTACAGGAAGTGTCTGAGGTGACAAGGTTCTGAGAAAAAATGAGATGCCAAAAGAAACATTGCATCAGAATATGAAGGCTGCAGGGCACAGAATTCATATGCGGTGGACTACTCAATTCAACAAACAATCCTGAGCACCAGCAATACGTCAGGCACTGTGCTGGGTGCTAGATGCTGAAAAGAAAACAGCACAGCCCATATCCTTAGATTGCTAATAGTCTGAAGACCATAGAAACAAATAAGCAATGTCTTCCAATGTGTAAGTGCCTTAATGGTGCCTCAAGAGCATCAAATACAATGTTGTGTTTCAGCCACTGGAAGTTAGGGACTCAAGGAGAAGAGAATTGAGTGAAGTCTCAAAGAATGAATATACAAAACCAGAATATATATTTTAATAAGAGGAATGAAGAGGGGAAACTCAGCATTAACAGAATACTTAGTGTAATCATTTTACAAAGCCTTCACAGGTTGGCACAGTGACCAGAGGCCCAGATGGCATTTTTCAGAGAGGGTAGTCAGGGATATTAAGCGTCTTGCAATTGGTGGGACATTCCCATAAAGCATAAGAATTGTTTTATCCAGAATGCTAATAGCACATACATTGAGTAACACTGGCAAGAGAGCCTATGCTAGAATCTGTTTGTATTTTATTTGGTTCCCAGAACAAACCTGTGAAAGTAGATTAGTCCCATTTTTTAGGTGAGAATTCCAGAGTATAGAATGTTAGATAACTTGCCCCAAAGCCAAGAGGGATACAGCTGAGGTTTACATCTGAGGCTGATTTTCCAGGATATGTCTGTCACCCCTGTGCACATTGCTATCAAATATTACGGAACCATCACAATTGCACAGATTGTGAGAGCAGTGTTTGGCTTATAAAACAGGATTTTCAGTGTAAAAACAAGTGCAAAATGATAAAAAGAGAAAATAGTTACAAAAAGTATCAATTTTATGAATTTCAAATTAAAATATTAAGGAATATTCACTATATACTTGCTATTTTAAAAAGAAAAGCTTCCAATCTATAGTAAGCATTAACAAAACAAGAAAGAATGCATGATATATGTTATTAAAGCAAAAACCACCTAGGATCTGTATAACAAATGAAAGTAATGTTCTGTAGGGGAAGAATTTAAGCTCTTATTTTAGCTCTGCTATGATAATCCACTAAAATTGGCTTAATAACTGATAACTTTATAAACAAAGGATTCTCTGTGAAGTTTGAGTTCCTTTCTCATTTCCAAGGTGATGCTAAAGTTGTTAAAATATATTTTTAGGCTTTGATTTTCCCCTTGTAAAATGAAAAGTGCAATCATTCTTTCGGATCTTAGTTACAACAAAAGTTAAGTCCTAGATTGGAGTACATGACAAGGCAAAATCTAAGGTGGAAGAACACTCTTGATGATGAAATAGTAATTCAACAGTTTTTAGAGTAACTATTTTGTAAGTTGCTTTTTTCGTGTCAAGTTAACAGTTGATTATTTGTTTACTCCTAAAACATTGTATTCATATAAGTTTAACACTACTCAGCTTGGAAGATACTAGGGGATCGAGGGGTCATTATCTATCAAGGGGGTGTTGATCCTTTCTTGCCCTTATGTAAAAGGATTAGAACCAGCACTCTTGCCTTACTTGTCTGACAAATATTTATTCATTACTGAGCAAGTAGCTATTTTCAAGGCTGCTATGGAATAAGAGCATGTATAAAGAGCATTCCTTAGATTACATCAATTTACATAAGAACAAATATAAACTCACTGCAAGCCAGGAGAGCGTAGGAGTATATGTGTCTGTCCTATTCCTGTACAGTCATACACCCTTAAGGACCAATAGTGTAAACACCCAGCTTTGTGCTATAAACACTATTCAAAAACTCAACACATTCAGCAAAACAGACCAAATCCTGCAAGGTCAACACGTTGCTTCCTGGAAAAATAAGATTGCTTTAGATCTCTGCTCAGTGACTCCAGGTTATCTTATTATGACCAAATCCAAAACAGCCCATGGGTAGACCATTACCAAATATAGAATTAGCAGTTAGAAACCAGAAACAGGAACTGGAAGACGCAAGCCCCCTGGAAGCCCTAGGGGACCTGCCTTGTGATTGTTTCATAGAAAAGACATTTCCTGCTTTCTGAATTTGAAGGGGGGGAAAAAAAGAATTATTTCAATGATGAAGCCACCTACAAAAAAAAATCCTGGAAGACTTAATCCAATCACTAGGAGCAAAGTGGCCAGCAGGGTCACACTATCAAATCATTTAGGACATGTGAGTTTGTTGGTTAGAGCTGATCCCCACTTTGATCTTTAGGGGATACTGAAATTAATTTCTGCTTCTCTGATTTAAAGCCATCAATGTCAGCTCCATGACAAATGACCTTCAGGTGAAAATGCTCACAGGCAGTTGGCTGGAAAGTACAGGCAATCAAAATTACAGATTCCAGAAAGATTTCAGAAGACTTCATGTTGATAATGTGCCCTGAATTCTTGCTTCTACTCCCCCCATACAGTCATCTGCTCTATACTTTCTGGGATTTGTAGTAG